TGAAGCTTTTCAACTAAAAACATCTTCCTAATGCTGCTAGAACAAATATGCCGGGGCAGTGACAAGCGCCTCTCACTGATCTCCTTCTCCGTTATAGCTGGCTTCAGTCACGTGACGCTGGCTCTGAACGAAAACGCGTTTTGGATTAGCTAGACAGGTAGACTAGTGCTTTATGTCCCTCTCAGCGATTATAGTTTTTCAAAATGGCGGAACAACATGGAAGCCTCCATGGACTGGCCCGTCCAATGTATATACAGATAAGAAATTCTTCGCTTACGAGGATAAGTCAGATCATTGGCAGAGGTAATTTTACACCAATGAGGACACATTTATGAATTAAGACATTGATTTTAGCCAGTAACATACTTAAAACACTACACAATGTCCCTTTAAGGTTGCAGGCTGCAAAACCTAAAAAGACAGACGAGGCTAAAATAATACATAGAACCGAGGTGAACTGCAAAGTCGGGTTGTGGGTTTAACTTGCTACCAGCAACATCTTTTATATTACACATTTTTACATTGTTAAAATAACAATATTGATTGGTGCAGCTTTAATGTTTCTCATGTTGCTGTTTTTACACCTGCATCAATCTCCTTCACTCTTACTACCATTTTGGTCCCCTGATGGTCCCTACTAGACGCCCCGAATGCCTTTGCAGCGTACACCTACAGATACAGTGGCTGGGGAAAGTTGAATGTGTAAGTATCATTCAGCCACACAGTAGACAGGAAAACCCAATGAGCTGCCGGGCTGATTGCTGACTACATTAAGCCTCTTAGGCAGCACGCTGATGAATCCACTCGTTGAAATGTGAAGGTAATAGTCTTGACATAGCAAAGACATAACTCACCGACTGTACCTGCAAAGTCCCCAAATGACAGCAATCTCAAGTAGGAGCCAGTCCAATATGAAAGAGGACTTTGCTTTTATTACCATCATCATTACTGTATATCATTTCTGAATGTACAGCCATTTGGTTTCATTTAAATGTAAATCTGGGCACTGAAGTGCGCACGTTGTCACCCACGGCAGCCTGACTATGATGATTCATTCTGGGATCGGCAGGGAAAATATAAGAGCCCCTTTACTTTCTCTGAGGGAAAATAACAGATTTGACCTTTGTCTGTTTTCATGAAAGCTCTGTACACAGCAAAATAAAAAACCTTGAGATTTTCTTTTTCTCTTCTAGAAAACAAAAGTAGCCACCGTTTTGTGCATCCTTTGTACTCTGCTGTCTCTCTTTTTCTTTTTCTTTTTTTTTTGCCCAACCTGAAGAACAAGAACAGAGAGGTACAATCTGTGCCGCAAGGTCAGGGGTGGACTAAAGCCTGAGGAGAATTGACGAGTCCACATGTCAAATGATTTTACAGCAACACAAGAGACATGGCATCACATGCCATGTGGCGATGGCTACTTCAGTGAGACTTGACACATATTGTGCATCTGTGGAGCTAGAAGATGCTGTTTGCTGCTAATATTTATCAAATGAGCTGACCATTGCACATGTGCACAATCTTTCCAACAGGGCAAACATTAGCAGCTCCATACCCTGATCTCATAGCATATTCTTGTAATCATATAGCATTAGGAGAATGTACAGCAGAGCATGTTGAATTATTGGCAAATGAACTGGATGACATCAACAATCCTTAATCAAATATCAGATAATCCCCTTGCTCATTATTTTTCTTTCTCTATACACACCCGCTCTCTTGCTAAATCACACATCACAGAAATTAATCACCAAGTCCCAAATAAATATGCCTGTGTGTCACATGAAATCAACAAGACCTTCATCAGGAGCCAGGTTATGAGGGATATTACATATCAGTGCATTCACATAGCATCTTTGCATCTATAAACGGGGCTTCATAACATAGACAAATACATGGTAATAGCCGAAACCTGATCTATAAGGAAGTCACATCTAATATCAGGAAGCTGTATCTTTAAATCTCTTATGTGTTTCATGTCCAGTACTGTGCAACACGATTGAAAAGCCTTTTAAAGTTTCCCTCTGGGCCACACCATGCTTATTGACGGCCGTGTTGCACAGGAGGAGCCCTCCTTCGTGACCCCTCGCGTGAGTCTCGTCCCAGCCAACAGGGCCTGTGAACATCACTGTTGATCCTTAAGAGCTTAAATCTGGCTGAGTGCGAGTTAGCACAGTCAAGACCCGCCGCGGGCGGTTCATGGAGTCAACTTTGTGGGGAAATGTCCGTGTGACACCTGTTGTTACGTCTGTGGCCTTGGAGACCGGTGTGACGTGCAGAGAGATGGTAATGCGGAAGGCGTTTGTGCACGAAATGTCACTTCAGTTACTGCAGGACATGATTGAAGCATTCAGGGGGCATTAATGAGATTTTTATGCAGCTGCGTCAAGAGCTAAAATGATTAGTGGATTTATTGATTAGTCAATGGACAAAAATATGAATCTATTTGGTAATGAATTTAATCATAATTAATATTCTTTAAGCAAAACTATCAAGCATTCTCTGATTAACTTCTCAAAAGTTAGGATATTATCTTTTGGATTGGTGCTCAGATAAAACCAGGAATATGGGCTCAGGGAACGATATCAACAGACATCAACAACTAAAGTCAGCCTGTTAGTTAGCCTGTTTGCCCAACATAGAATTCTGGTGTGATTCCCTCTTTGCACACAGGATCAAACTTGAATAACATCTACATCTCTGAAACAGCAGTGAACAAACTAGGGCTGCAACTAAAGATTATTATTTTAACGATTACTCTGTGGATCATTTTCTCAATTCATTGATTGGCTGTTTGGTCTATAAAATGTCTGAAAATAGTGAAAACATCCTCAAATGTTTTGTTTTTCCTCAACCCAGAAATATCTGCTCTAAACAGTAGTTCCAACCTAGGCGTCAGGACCCCCAACCAAAGAGAAATCATTTACAGGACAGGAAAGACAAAAAAATATTCTAGAATTTTTTCTCTAATCAACACTTATGTCATCATTTAACCTTGATGATGTCATCAGATAACCTCAGTGATGTCATAGGGTTCACACCTGTTTTTTACACAAAGCCTGCATTATAAACGGAGGTGTGGGGTTTGAAAGATATGGCAATTTTTCAGGCTGGGAGGGTATAATGAAAGACGCTATCAAGCTGCATTATGGGAATTGTAGGATCCAGTGTTTCCGCAGCTTGACCCATACCAAAAGGACCAAAAGTCAGGATATTTCAGCCTTTGCTGCTTCAATTTTGACCGTTCTTTTTTTTATCTGTCTCCTGTGAGTCCTCCAACTTTCTGTTGGTGCAATAATAAATAATAACTGGAGTAATTAAACTTCTCATGGCTCATAAATGTACTGCGTGCAACCTGTGACGATGGGGGTTGCAAGAAGACATTGTGTCATTTTAAGGGGGTAAATGCATTGTAACCATGCATTTAGCTCTCTTTTCAGAATGTGCTTTCATCATTTCTTGGCTTTTTTTTAAATTGACGTTTAATTGACGCAAGTTTTGTACAATTGTACATGACACCTGTTTCCCTCTCATGAAAATAAACTCAGAACAATACTGCCCTGAATAGTCACACACAAGCTCCATAGTAAAGTGCAACTTTCCACACAGTACACCAATAAAATGTAATATAGACACAATCCAACAGATGTGATCAGATCCACCAATAAGATGAAAAGCCGGAGAGCTCAATCTAACGGGGGACTTTCCACACCCATGTACAGTGACTGTAGAGGGCAATGGAGTCGTGATGCTGTGACCTCAATCTATTACTGCACTCACTTCAGCTCCATGGGCTGCCATACAGTGAGTTTAGAACATGTGGTTCTAGGCGTGGGGCGGGGGGGTAAAATCAGATCTAGCATTGGTGTACACAGTCACCTACTGTAACCTACATTAACAGGAAGGTGAAGAATCTCTTCTGTGCCGCAGTCATTACAGTAGACACAGAATGATGAGCCATTTTTTCAGAGATGCACAGACACAATCAGATGACTGAAAAACAAACATATTATTGTGGAGCTGTGTGCTTGTACATTGTAACATTTGATTAAAATGAGTCTGAGTGCAGCAGCTACAACTCTTCGGAAAAGTCTGCATACAATAACACTTGAAAAATCTGTAGAACATTTCTTTTCTTGATTTTTGTTCTCCATTAAAAAAAAAAAAATCACATCAAACATCAAACTGGGACTGATGCCCAATCCTCAACAACCTCCCCACCTGGCACATCCTCCCCACATTCAAGTGTATTCTTACCTACAGAATATGCCTAGAACATGTTCATTATCTCATAATCTCATAATCCAGCTCGTGTCCTTTCAAAAATCGTATTATGTGCCTGGAACAATGCTTTTCTTATTTTTAATTCAGCATAAATAATGCCTGTCCCTGCGCCCTGCACAGGCAGCCTTACACAGATTACTACCCCCCCAACCCCCCAAATGTCCCTATCCAATACATGTTATCAGGGAGTGAGCCGCTTTATAATGAAGACAGAATCTGTACTGTAACTCCCAGAGAAAATGCGTTGACATGCCTGTTGCACAGGCGTGTCTGAATTAAAGGCTGCTCCTGAATGCAGCGCGGTCATGATGATGGATTCATTAAAGACTGCGAGAACTGAGTAAACTGGCACAATTAACATCGATTTGAGGGGAATATGAGGGGGAAAAAAGAAAGATAAACAGTGTGGGAACTTGACAGTGCGAGCCGCGGCTTGATGAATCAATATCAGGAGCTCCGCTGCGCACTGGGGGAAGAGAGAGAGCTCAAACAGTGACAATAAGTCCGGGGTTGGATCAAAAAGCCCCGCTGAAAATTGCATGTGCACAATGGCACATCTTCACAAATGCCCCAAATATTTACAAACGCGACAGAAACGCGAGAAGTGGTGCGTAACCACGAGCATGGCACAAGCTTCTTTTTAACACGCCGGGGGGAAACGCGTCTGAAACCCAGTGACAGTGAAAGTATCCATGCACGCACACGGACACAGCTCTTACCTTTGGAGATCACGGACACTGTGCAATAAACGAGGATCAGGAGGCCCGTCATGGAGAGGTAACGTCCTTTTGTCAGCGCACCCATACCGACGCGTAGCTCTCCACGGGTACGCTGCCGGGGTGACGGTGCTCCGGATCTCTGGTGCCTCCTCTCGCCTCCTCCGAGCTGGACGAGCCCCGTAAACCAGGGATGGGGGCAGTTTGGCGCTCTGGCAGGAGAGGAAGAAGAAGAAGGAGGAGGAGGAGGAGGAGGAGGAGGAGTGAATGGCTTACGGGCTGGACTGTTGGTCGAAAGGGAAGAAGCATCTTCACTTCACTTTTGCTGTGAGTGTGTGCGCAGCAGAGGAGACGTGCGCTCAGAGTTTACCCCCCTTCCCAGGCATCATCATCCCGGAGCCTGCTTCGTGCTAACCAATGGCAGAGGGAGGAAGGCGGAGAGGAGGAGACGGTGGGGTAGGCTACATGCAGGCCTACTCACTCAAGTGTTTCTTGTAATACTTGTACCTGTAATGCAGCAGTCAGAACTCTAACACAGGAATACAGTTTCAGGGAATACTGGCCAGAAATATCATTCATGTCTCTTCACTTTCACATGTGACAGAAACTGTACACTCAAGTCTCCAAGCCTGCTGATACATTTCAAGAGATAGTGAGGCAGTGACTGGCAGTTAACACACATATGTGGGGAGCCTGATTAACTATTATACCCTCACCAACGACTGCAGAGCCACACTGGCCCTTAAGGCTCCTGCCTGCCAAGTACATTTTTAAGAAGTGTTTCTTGGCATTTGTGTTCTGTTATACAGTCATAATTAAAAGCTACAAAATATGCAGATTTATTTGGGCCACAGAATGAGCTTAGAACTCTGTCACTGTCATAAAAATCACAACCATGTGAAGCAGGGGCGGATCTAGAGGGATGGCATAGGTGGCAGCTGCCCTTGAAAAAGAAATGTAAATTGATGCATATAATTCTGAATGTAACGATTTATTGCAAGACAGTTCAATCGTTTTACAAATATGTAAAGATTCAAACTGGTGAGGTGACGAATTAACGGTGATACTCTTTTTAAACTGCAGAGGGCTACTTTTGACTTTGCTAGTTCGACGTCCCACAACGCTCTCATCAGTAGCTGTATCAAAGAGCTAAGACATCAGTTTCAGGGGTCGGCAAAGCTTCACAGGGGGGTCACAAGGCCTTCTTGATTTTAAGGGGTGTAAGAAAATTTTAAAATATACACAGTATAACACTAAATTAAAATGCTTGCTTAGATAGTATGTATGATTGTTACATAAAAAACGCAGGCAGAGAATTGTATAAAAAGTTCCTAAAACCATCATAAAACTCACCTCTAATGTAATAAAATCAATCAGCTCAAAATTCAACCAAATCACTCATTTTACACAAACGTCCTGCAGTTATTGTGTTCACTATTCGGGTTCATTGTTCAGATGTGATTCATTCTAAAAGCTCACATGATGGAAGTGGCCCAAGACCCTCAGGGGTCCCGAAGACTCCAGGTTTAAAATGGGCAATTAGTTAGTGGTAATTTGATTAATAATACAGTATGCACCACTCAGCTCATACAGTAATTTAACATCATCTATAATATTCATAATCTACCATAGTGACTCTAAACCAGCGCAGCATGATTAGGGATTTAAAAAATGGGCAACAAAAGCAATTTAGAACTTAGTGAGCATTAGAAAAAGGAGAAATGAAGAGCTTCGAGAATCTGAGTCAAAATATGATTTGGGGATATGCAAATTCTCCAGAAATCTGCAAGGGGATTAGGTTAAGGACTGATGACTAATGATAAGCACAACACATTATATAATAAATAACACCGAATTATGTAATAGCTCAACAAAATGTAATACATTTTCACTTCATTATGTGACACGCCCACAAACACCCACATTTTGTAACAATCTGCCGCATTTTGTTATAAATGATTACATATTGTGGTGGCTATTGAGGGACTTTTTTTTAAACTGCTATTTGAATAGGCTTTTTGATGGTCTTTTTAGGGAGCCCTGTCAAAAGACCACTGCATTAGTTGACCCTGCTAGAAATAAAAGCATGAATGAGTTCTTCCAGGTCGGAGAATTGGCATGAAGTCTCTGAGTTTGGCATATTACATATTGTGTTCATGCTGTTTATGACAAAGTGCGGGTGTTATTACATAATGAAGTGAAACATTTTTCATTCCATTTTGTCAAATCATTATGTAATGCAGTGTTGATACAAGCACTCAACACAATTTATAAAAGAAAAATGGAAGAAAGAACAAAGATCTTAAAGGACCATTGTGTGGGATTTAGGGGCATCTAACGGTGTAGTTGTAGACTGCAACCAACTCGCCTCACCCTCCCCTTTCACAAAACTACGGTGGCTGCAAATTTGAAAAAATTATAATTGTAGCTTGCATTTCTCTTAAAATTAAGGGGAGCTGCAGAGGTGTCCTGACCTGCCGAGAGGAGAGATATCTTGGGAATGCTTGATGACAGAAAGTTTATTAAAGGACCAGTGTATAGTGGCATCTAGCAATGTAGTTGCGAATGGCACACTCAATTCCCAAGGTTGAGGGAGAAACTAAGGTGGGCGCTAAACGTGCAAAAAATAAAAGCGGCCCGATGTGGTACAATGTCTCTTCTGGGTTACCAACATGGTTCAACATGGCAAACTGTAGAAGAGGACCTGTTCCCTCTGTAGATAAAAACAACTTATATAAGGTCATGAAAACACGATTCCTATATTCCGGTGATTATACACGAATGAAAACATACCTATGAATATGATAATCCATTTCTGCCAATACATCCTCCTAAATGTAACACACTGGACCTTTAATCTTTAGATTTCAGATAATGAATGGCAAAACATATGGCAGATATACCACACAACGACCAATTCACAGAGGGAGCAAATTCTGCTAAAAGTTGGAATCGTTTTCAAAGGTGAAAAGTAAGGCTGGCTTTAGACGACAACGATCTGAACACAAACCGCAAAAGTGGCGTTGCGTTCCCACTTTTTATTCCGCGTTTAGACGAGCGTCTTAAAATATTTTGTCGGTTTCACTCGGGGCCGTTGTTGTGTAAAGCCAGCCTAAAGTTGGATTTATGCGGGTAACACCACGAGAAGAGAACATGCTGTAGGGTGGGTACGCCATAGCTGAAATACTACAGCTAATACTAGGATATAAGGTTCCTATGAGTTGTACTTCATCTCTGTAACTTCTGTGAAGAAAGTGCAACCAGAAGTAAGTTAATAGCAAGTAAAAAGGCTATCATGACTAATTTGGGGGAAAAATAGCAGCCCTGACACAGGATCAATAGCTTGTTTGCAGTCACCTGATTCCAATGACGCATGAAATGCAGATGGAGGGCAGGAATTGAAAAGCAGAAAGGATGAGGTGAAGGAAAGTCTGTGCTATGCTAGTTCAAACAATATTGAAGAGAAAGATACAAACACATGTTGGACATGATTCTTATGTTATGAAGAGCAGCGATTTTCCAACTGAACTGAGAGACTTGGCCTTTCTGGCGAGGAACTGAAGTCGTCATACAGCTCTCCTCAAAGCCACCAGACTCCTTTCATAAAAATAGTAATTTGACCTTGCAGCCACGGGAGTTTCTGGTCTACTGCTGCCTCCATTAGTTATTTTGTTTGTGTTATTGTGTGACACCAAAGTCAGTCTGGTGGATGGATATAATGGCTTCAGTTCCCCATCGACTGTCTGAAGATATTGGGAATACAGCGAGAGATTTGGGATTAAGGTTTTTTAAATAGGCCACGTTTTGCTGCTAACCCGTCCACAGACGTACTTGCAAGCCGTATTTTCCAGCGTTTCTCGGTCAACTTCTAGAACTCTTGCCTGTATGAAGAACAACTCGATACAAGCGCCTTGTGGAATCTCTGTTTGATTGATCTGAGCAACCATTAACAATGCCAGACAGGCATTGTGAGAGTTTGTGATGGTGCTTCCAATGTAGAAAATCACTTCCTGCCTTCCAGCTGCAGTTTGCGCCACAGGAACGCAGTGAAGTGACGTCATCTGCAATCTATGGCAAGGAATTGTTGAAAAAAAAATTTTAAAGGGAAAAACTTCCTTGAGATTACAAGAGGCTCAGACTTAAGAAAGTGCTATTTCTTTTGATGCCTTTTGAAAATTCAGTGTCATACTAATAGTCTTTGGTTTGAGGACAGGTGTCAGTCAAGGTGGTGTTGCTGAAGGACAACCATCAGAGCACCTTCTACTGTGCAGTGTGCAGCATGGACCTGTAGTCACACATGACCAGAACCATTTTACTTTGCTTTTCATGATTCATGCTGCTCGTTGTTTTCCTGTCATCTGTAATTTGAAATGTGTCTACATTAATGACACAACTATAAATTGAATAATTGCACGGGAGAGAACCATATGGCGCATCTACAGCAGCTACAAAGAATCTCCTGCTAAGATGCATGTTTAGTCTGTACCATCTATAATGTCCCTGTTGCAGAGAATGCTGAAAGCCACTTCAGTTTTTATGTCCACATCTCTCATCAAACAAAACAAAGTACAGGCTTAAAACCAATAAAAAATAAATGTGTATCTCAACATTCTGCACATACTTCATTTATACACTTTTTTATTTTTATTCCTTAGAAATAACTGCAAATAAACACTTTCAGAAAGCCAGCACTTTCCTGTTATAACAATCTTTGCTATTCTGTCAAAATTTTCAGCAACTCTGCTGCTGATGTGTGGAATATCTCTGGCAAGTTTCCCTTCCATCAAGCAGAGCTGAGGGTGTTTCGTCAGGAGGTTCTTGACCTGATTCTGTGTTGCACATATTCTGCATTCAATTATGTTCTCACTCTCATCTGACACTGATGTGATGTTCTGTAATCAGCATGACCAGCAGAAAGATGTGTGGAATGGCTTCAAATTTGAATTTATGTATTTGAATAAAATTAGATACTGAAGCAAGCGAGCCTCACTGCATCTGATAGCTCATATTGGAGTTTGTGGGCGTTTCCATGACAATAAGTGTATCTTAATTCATTTATCAGAAACAGCTAGGCAGCTGGAGCAATCCTGTGGTTGATGATGTTGTTGGTAGTTGTTGGTAGTTGGCAGAAAGCCAAACCTTAAGTGTTAAATCATATTATATAAAGTTTCAAACTTTTCCTGTTTCTGAAGTGCCTAAAAATACATATAATTTCTTTTATACTCTGTTTATTCTTATATGTAATTTTACCTTCATATTGGATACAAATTAAATCCTTGATTAAACCGCAAGCCAAAAGAAAGAAAAAAAGATTTATCTTAGGACTGAATATCCCTGCCATGTGTCAGATGTGTCCTTAATAAAACTGTTCTCAATCC